AAGGTGGCCGTTGTGAACTGAGGACGTCAAAAGACTTTCAGTGTTTGACCATCGATGTCTTTTGGGCGTTGCCCGAATCTGGTGGGAACATCGGATCAACAGTGCTGAAGTACGTCGAAATGTATTCGGAAGAAATAACTCGCCCACAATAGATGAAGTGATCACATGCCACAGGTTGCGCTGGATCGACTATGTGCTCCGTATGCCAGTCGACCGAGTACCTAGAACGGTTCTTTTTCCAAAACCACATGAATGGTGGAAACCAGCCAGGGAAGGTCAAACAGTGACTTGGCAGCGAAGTATGAAAGCCATTACCAGCAAATTCAGCTGCGCTACAAATGAACTGAGTCTGTGCTAAAAAGCCAAAAAGCCGTGTGAAGTTGCGTCGTCCTTGTCGGTGGTGAACAACACCAGTACTCATTTCAAGAATCCCAGGGATGGCCCGCTAGTCCCGACGAACTTCCACTCTCCCTAGCATACCACTTTAGTTTCGCCAGCAGACTCACCTGGAACCCTGCTGAATCTCTCGTTTGTGGTGTTTCTAAGCAACTGACTGTGCTGCACCAAGCCAAACCATGTTCCAGTTGATACGTTATTCAAGGTATAGCGATACATTGTATAGACGTAATACACTACTCATAAAGTTTTCAGTGATCTCCAGGACGTTTCGGATACGTGATGTCCCGGTATGAGCTGAATCCTGAACCATGCAACAGATCACACAGCTGATAAGCGTCACTCACCTTCAATCAATCAGTGAATACCACCTGATCATAAGGTTGACAGAAACTCGGGGACCGCGCCTAACTGATGAGCCCCAAGAAGGGCGAAACCGGTCGTGGGCTGTCGAAGAGTTTTCAGCAACCTTGTGAGCAGTCTCCTTTATGAAAAAACCACCTGATCCGCTTTTGACTAACTCCTGGCGTGGTGAAATCTCGGCTGAAAGGCTAATACTCTGTGTGGAAATTTTTCTTCCCTAGTACATTATTCTGTCCACCTTTCAATGTACTGGATTGTGGTGAACAAGTGACCAATGCTGAACTTGCCACAATCATGGTGTGACGAGCTCGTGGGTCACCGATAATGTTACCCGATCAACGATGCGTCTTTACATACTTCTGAACGCCTCATCTCATTTTGAGCGAAAGAACACTTGATTTTCAAAGTACGGACTATTTAGGTAAGTGAGTAAGCACCGCAATGAAAGGTGTCCCATATAAATACAGAAACTCTTAAATTAGAGAGTTTCCGAGGGCCCTCTGGGAGATCCGCCACTCGCCTTTTGTTCTTTGAAGAACCAGACTCATTCAGGACGGACATTTTGACAAATTCAAATTGCGCGAGCACCCGGATGATGATCACTTGCCCCCCCATATGCGTGTCGGTTTGTAGTCTATTTTTCTGCTTGGTTTCTTTCAAGATGTCATCAGATCCGCCGACAAATTCGAGTACAGTATGATAAAGAAACAATGAGTTCCTGAATCATGGCTTTCCAAACTTCCGCTCTACATCTTAGCAAATTAAACCAGCTTCCCTGTAGTTTTCAACAACTGCAAAGGAAATCAGCTAAAGACCTAGTGAGCTCTAGCAACAAATTGCACTCTAGTTCAACTTTCCGTCATTCTTATGCATCTTACTCGTACGAGGGCTGGATCCCATAGCAGAAAGTGGGACTTAAAACCAGCGTACCTTATTCTCTGGAACTTGTAGTTTATAGCCTTTGAAAAACATGTTTTTCTCGAATATCTCTCGATGTCTTGGCACAAGGTCACCTGAAATGAAAAAAACAACGGTTGGGAGATACAGCTGTGACACACAGTAACATACAATTCCAGGGTAAAACGGAGAAGAAACGTTAGATTTTTACAACCCGTGAACCGATCCCAGAACACATCAAATTAATCTCAAATTTTCTGGATTTCCTCCCAGACATTTTTTAACCTCTGTCCGTTCAACTTAGGAATTTTATTGGGATACTTTGCGGAAACAAGTCAAGACGCCGCAAATGAGACTCATCATCAGCTATTTGCTTTGAAGGTTAAGTTGGATCACTTTGAAATCTGGCTTCTGTCTGTAAAATCGTCTGGAAGATGTTGGCGTATACCCTGTAACGGTTCTTTTACAAGGGTTTGTAGTGAACCAGCATCATCTGAGAAGCGATTGTCTATCTTCCAGAGTTGCTTGAACACGGGAGACTGTGCGCAGAAGACGCTACACCTCAGAAGAGATCGTTCTACGTTGTCCGCTGAGACTGGATCGGAATTGGGGGAAAACCACTAACCAAGACGATGAGCCGTCATCTTTTGACGCTGTCGACAAGATCCTCCCTAGGGACAGAAACTGATAGGGCAGGCACTCAGATTGTGGCACTCAGATGTACTACAAAGCCAAGCGTGTGTGATTTTCTGAGTTGACCGTTCGTAGGTTTCCTGGATGTTTGTATAAAACCAAATACCAGCTGTATGCGCTTGTACGGGCTAGCCTTCTCCTTTTAATTCACGCGTGTGATATACGAATGAGGGGGGAACGAACTGCGGCTTTGAATTCAGCAGGTGGTTGGGCCCTTCTGATCTCAGCCATATTTAATTTCACTTTGTGACACCGATCGGAGTCGAACCAACTCCAGTACCCTAGATTCATACGAATCTTTGGATACGAAGTGTGCAAGAAGTGACTGGCGCTTACATGCGATTTCCGAAACCTCCAGTATCACGATCTGCTTCACGTAGACTTTTATGTTTCCGCGTGATCCTACATGTGGCCAAATCTATCAGAAGGAACAAACTCCCGGCAGGAGAGGATTGGTGACTAGCCGTCCCCTCGGAAGCGGGCGGCAGTATCACGATGTAGGTGATCCACATTGCCTGAAAGTATTGCTGGAATCCGAAACACATGGGACATACGATTGAAAATACGCGAATTCATCGCCTAAATAATGCTTGTTATAGAGAGAAAACCGGTAGTGTCGTTTCAACTCTAGCTTGTTCGTCGGAATTTCAGATCGGCTGGTGTCTGTTCCAGGATGCTGTGGGTGCCGCAGAACAGTTGTGAGATATAGAAACAGTTAAATTAATTCGCTATGCGCGCCAGTGAAAAGCACTCACTGGCACACTCACCCATTGTCCAAGTAATCAAATGTAATTGGTCCAAATCTGTTGTCCGAGTAATCAAATGTAATTGGTCCAAATCTGATCGGCCCGGCCATAGAGGCAATCCGGTCAGCATTTCGGCCACCACACATCCCACTGCCCATATATCAACCGGCGGTCCGTATTGCGTATCACCGACCAGCAGTTCGGGGGCTCTGTACCAGCGCGTGGCCACGTAGTCGGTATATTCGTCTCCCGGCCCAGCTGAGATTTTAAATGGAATGGAGTGTGAACAGGCATTAGTCGAAAAGAAAGAGGAACAGCACTGAAACAAATTCCTCAGTAAAGTTTGTTTTCTGAAGCATCGACTGCTCTACCTCATGCGTTGGGGCAGTTTTGGCTGCTTGGATGGAAAGTACACATAAACCGTCGGGAAATTTGAGTCAACTCGCAAAACGTCCGTGCGCTTCTCTGCCGCACTTTTTATCAGTGAGCTGTAACCTGAACACAACTCATCAACTACAGGTAGTTTGGATATCAAAACATCATTTGCAAATCAATTTTCACGAGAGACTCACTCAA